GCAGGCTGGTTGCAAGCACACCCGAATCATATCCTACGGGCGCTTTCCACGGATTACTCCGATCACTGTCCACTGCTGCTGATGGCAAACGTGGTGCCATGGGCAAAAAAGAGGTTTTGGTTTGAACCACACTGGATCAAATTCCCGGGATTCATGGAGGTTGTGGAGTCAGCCTGGTCAGCAACTCTGTTGCATGTGGACCCATTCCGTGTACTGGATTACAAACTCAGAAATGTGGCACAGGCGCTGAAGAGCTGGAGTGATAAGAAGATCGGCAGTGTGCGGATGCAGTTAGCCTTGGTCCGGGAGGCAATCGTACATCTGGATGTGGCTCAGGAATCAAGGTCGCTTTCTTTGCAGGAGTCGCAACTGCGTAAGTCGCTGAAAGTCCGCGTGCTCGGTTTGGCATCCGTGCTGCATACGATTGCCAGACAACGCTCAAGAATGATGTTTCTGGCCGAGGGGGATGCAAACACCAAGTTCTTTCACCTCATGGCATGCCACAGAAAACGCAGAAACTTTATACGGTCTCTCCACGTTCATGACAATGTGATTGTCAGTGAAGAAGGAATGGCTGATGCGCTGTACCATTACTATGACCAAGTCCTGGGCACCATCTTTGTTCCCTCCCGGAGATTCGACCTTGGGATTATTGGGCTGCCATCGGTGGACCTTTCCAGCCTGGAGGTGCACTTCACTGAAGCTGAAATTTGGGCAGTGATCTCTGAAATGCCGAATGACAAGTCGCCAGGGCTAGATGGCTTCACAGGCCTCTTCTATAAGACGGCCTGGCCCATAATCAAGGTGGACATTCTGAACGCCTTCAACGCCTTCTGGGCTCACGACACTAGAAACTTAAACTTGCTTAACGATGCTTATATGATCCTGCTAAGAAAGAAAGATCAGCCCGAGGAGATCAAGCACTACCGCCCAATCAGTCTCATTCACAGTTTTGGCAAACTGATCACAAAATGCCTAGCAGCAAGGATGGCACAGGTGCTGGACAATTTGGTTCGGCCAAACCAGACAACCTTCATCAGAGGTCGCTGCATACATGATAATTTCCAGCTTGTGCGACTCTCTTGTAAGGCGATTCATGAAAAACGTGTTCCCTATGTCCTGCTCAAGATTGATATAGCCAAGGCTTTTGACTCAGTTGCATGGAACTTCTTGCTCGAGGTGCTGGCGCATTTGGGCTTCGGCCAACGGTGGAGGGACTGGGTCTCCAGCATGCTGTTAACTGCTAGCATAAAAATACTTCTGAATGGTAGGCCTGGGAGAAGAATATTCCATGCGAGGGGACTACGCCAGGGTGATCCACTGTCACCGATGCTTTTTGTGCTCGTCATGGAGGTTCTCAACCACCTGATCTGCTGGCTGGATGTCCAGGGTTTCTTGTCACCCTTGGGGGTCACTGCGCTGCCTTTTAGGGTCAGCTTGTACGCTGACGACGTCGTCATGTTTGTTAAACCAAAATTGGATGATCGGCTTGTCCTAAAGGGGGCGGTGGAGCTCTTCGGCCTGGCGTCTGGGCTGTTCACCAACTTGGATAAGAGTGTGGCTACTCCGATTGGCTGCTCGGAGCAGGAGGCAGAACTCGTGCATGACACTTTATTATGCAAGATCGAGGCCTTCCCATGTCGCTACCTGGGTATTCCACTATCAATTTTCAAGCTGAGGAAGAGCGCTGAGCAGAGCCTGGTAGACACCGTCGCCTCCAGGATACCACAGTGGAAAGGAAGATTGCTGAACATGGCCGGGAGGACAGCATTGGCTAGAGCCATGCTCTCGGCAATACCGATCCACATGTCCATAGCGCTGTGTCTTTCGCAGTGGGCCATTGAGCAAATTGATAGGCGGCGATGCGCTTTCATTTGGTGTGGTGAGCAGACAGTCACTGTAGGCAAGTGCAAAGTGGCCTGGAAATCATGCTGCAAACCAAAGGATCTTGGAGGGCTGGGAGTCATTGATATGCGGCGTGCTGGGGTGGCACTGAGGGTCCGATGGGAGTGGAAATGTCGGGTGGATCAAAGACTGGATTCGTCCAGCTTGCATAGAAAAAAAGAAAAGATGGTGACTGCAGTTTTCAAGGAAGCCACAGTGTCCATTGTTGGCTCCGGGGAATCGACTTTCTTCTGGACGGACAACTGGATTGATGGTACAAGCATTCAGTCAATGGTGCCAACGCTCTTTCAGGCTGTTGCAGCAAGGCGTCGGGGGGCGTTGGTATGTGATGCACTGCCAGGTAATACTTGGGTGCACCACATCACCGGAGCACATACGGTTCAGGTCATCAACGAGTTCATGTTTGTGTGGCAGCAAGTTGGCGATTTACGCCTTGCGAGGAACACTGATGTGTTTGGTGGAGGCTCACACCGGATGGAGCCTACTCTTCGGCCTCGGCTTATGGAGCCATGTTCTTTGGTGCTTCGAGGACCCTTGGGGCAAGGGAGATTTGGAAGACCTCGGCGCCGCCAAGAGTTCGTGCCTTCTTCTGGTTGGTTTTGCATAGGAGATCTTTGAATCGCGGAACGGGCGGTTTCGCCATGGCTTGCAAAGACGAGAGTATCTCGCATCACTTGTGACCAAATCGACGGAGAGTATGGATCATATCATCTTGGGTTGTGTCTCACAAGAGGAGAGTGCAGGCCATTCTCATCGCCAAACTCCATCTCCGGATGTTGTGCTCGTCAATGAGGAGGATGTCATGGAGTGGTGGTGCGCAATGTAAAGCTCGTTGTAAAACCGGCGAGAAAGGGGTTCGATTCGCTCTTCTTCCTAGTTGGCTGGAGACTGTGGAAGGAGAGGAACTCGCGCACTTTTGATGGAGCTTCTACTAACGCGGCTGGGCTGGCTTGCTCGATCTGGGGCGAGGCCGAGGAGTGGTGTTTGACAGGATACAAGCACCTCCTGTCTTTGCTAACACTGATGTAGTCTTCAGGGGTCATTCCCGTCTCAAGCATAGTACTATGTAAATCAATTTCACTCGTTTGGCCGTGGGCCGTAATGCTTTGGTAATCGGTGGATTACCATGGCGTTTAGTTGTAATTTCGTGTAAACTCTCTTCTCTTGCTTAATGAAAACCGTGCCAGAGGCACGTTCGAGAAAAAGAAGGAAAGAGGAAGGTGGAGAAAGAGGAGTAGACAAGGTCTATTGATTGGGACTGCTCTGAAATAGGAGTACCAGTATTATTGTTCATTGTTGAACAAGGCCAATTAGGCCCCGTTTAGATCCAAATTTTTTTTGGATTTTGGCTACTGTAGCACTTTCGTTTTTATTTGGCAATTAATGTCTAATTATGGACTAATTAGGTTCGAAAGTTTCGTCTCGTGATTTCTCACCCAACTGTGCAATTAGTTTTTTTTCGTCTACATTTAATACTCCATGCATGCGCCGCAAAATTCGATGTGACGGGTACTGCGCAAAAGTTTTTGGGTTTTAGGGGGCATCTAAACGGGGCCTTATTGTTGGGACCTGCATTTGGAGTGAAGTACTAGTCACCATAAACACAGACAAAGGAAGCTTCTGGGTAGCTTTACCGGGTTTCGTTTCTATCCTTGAGAAAGCAACGGTTTGACCGTATCCTCCCTTGCAATAAATAAATGAAGGCCGAACATGGAGTAGACAAGGTCTATGAATTTATCAAAAATGTTATCAGCAAGGCTTTGGCCTTGTACTACTTGGATTGGATGAGTTATCGTGCAAGGCTTTTTATCCTTTAGCTGAGCACTAGCATAGGCATCACATCAGGAGTTAAGATTCTTGCTTCCCAGATCTGCAGTTTTGCAACTCACACACTGCGTAAACAACTTGTAGGAAAAACAAGTCTTTGCCGAGAACAGCATTTGCAACTGAAACGCTGCGTAAACATAGCCCAAATGAACAGCAAGGCGCACATACTGCCACCTCACCTATATCCAGGAAACGGTGGAATCTGGTCACCTCTCACATGGAAAATCACATAAGAATTTTTTTATTCCATAACCCATATAATTCACCATATATGAACTGATAAAAACACAAAAAAGTATAGAAATTTTTTGACTAACCACTGACCAGTGTCTTGCACTAGTACTGCTGCTTTGTGAGAGGAATCAGCCGTGACGCCAGGCTCGTCGGGGCTGTACTAGGGTTGTCGGTTCCTGGAGCACGGCCACGCGCCCCGCAACTACCGCAGTACAAGTAATCCCCGAGGCGGCGAGACCTGACTCCGGCCAGACCGGCGACACGGAGGGTTCGGCGCTCGGCCTTGTGTGGCGCTGGCGCTGGCGCCGGAACACAAGAGAAGGGCTGAATGGAGACGGGGGGACGCTGACCAAAACAGGGACAAATATTGCGGTACAAACTCATCTATTTGGTGGGCCGGCCCATCTCGTCTTCGTTGCTCATTTGAAGCAGAGTAGCGGAACAACGGCAACGCTCCACCACATCATATAACAACGGCAACGCGCTCCCCTTCCTCGGCTTGAATAAGTTAGGCACATGAAAAATGAAAACTCAGAGCACACATGACATGAGCAAACACCAACGACGACGACAGAACCACGGAAGCAAAGAAAATACGAATTTATTACAAACACACCACTCGTCGTTGGCAATCGCTGTTTTCAATATATGTTCGAAACTTTGCAGAGCCACATGAGAGTATAGCTGTTCTTATTACAAACAATCGACCAATTGGCCTCAAAGCGATAACCACAGTTTTTATCTTCATCGTTGGAGGCTTATTCTACCATTAGAGAAATATGTGCTGGCAATTATTAATGAGCATAACGAAGGAGGCCTTCCAGTTCACGGTGGCCGGGGCGCTGGGGTGGCTTGAACTGGGTACCGCCTGCTGCGGAGATGACTTTGTGACCTCGAGGTGGCTGTTTGGAACATTGAAGTATGTCAAATATTGGAAAACATAATTAGTCCTGGAGAATCGCGAATGACAGTGGAGCCTTTACCTTCTTATTTCTTTTCACACAAGTGGAAAGTATAAAGAAGCAAGTTCAATACTAGTAGAAGGTCTTCCAGCGGATGTGCGAAATCTTTGGCCAGCTTTCTCCATCAGGTTCTCGGCAGTTCTTCTTCAAGACGGGGCAACCCTGTATAATTATGCGCTGGAGGGAGGACGGCAGATCTGGTAAAGATGTTATGTTGGGGCAATCAGAGATATCAAGACTCTGCAGACTGGAGAGAAATTTCAGATTTGTTGGCAGGGACTCCATTTTGCACCTCCCAAATTCCAGCTTCTTGACAGATGAGAGATTTGCGGGTTCTTCAAATGAAACTGACGGCTCTTTGCAATCGTAAAGACAAAGATACGACGGGACTCTAAACCCTTCAGCCATGATCATGTGGTTGAGCAATATGGAGCTACTAACAGTGAGCGCTTCCTGGACACGGAACTGTGAGATGTGCTTGGCAGTGAGGTTTGGAACATCTACCAAACCTAGGTCCTTAAGGTGCAGGGAAGACAGGCCTTCAAGCGAGCACAGATCAGGGAGACACACTAGAAGTAATAATTCAAGGGAGGTCAGGTGGCCAATCGATAAGGATGGGGAGCTTCTGCAACCATAAATGGAAAGATATTTCAGGTGTGGGAAGCCATTAATGAATGAATCAGCTGGAAGTATGCAGCCACGTATCGTGAGGCGCTCAGCAAGGTCGAACGACATAAATTCTGCTCCACGTGCCAGCTCTAAACAAGGGCAATCCGTACAGTTAAGACTGGAAAGAGATGGAGCAGCATGTAAGCCCCCCAGTGATCTGAGACACCAACAAGCAGTGATTTCAATCCTCTCAAGCTTTGTCAAATGCTCATACACCTCCTGTGACGGAAGTGCAGTTAAGACCATATTATAACCCAATTGTAAGGTTCTCAGTGAAGTGAGGCCACCAAGGCAAATAGCCAAACCGTCATCTGTAATACTACATGAAGATAGACAAAGTTCACGAATTCCAGATGGTAGAACCAGCGGCAGCTCCATGGTCCTTCCATAAATGCCTCTTATCCTCTGCTCATGGCAAAAAAGCCATGCCTTGATGGTATTTTCTTTCACCGATATTATATCTCCTTCCTCTAGGCCACTTTCAATAATTTGAAGATGTTGTGATATATCATCACCCATCTGCGTTGTCAACTGCTTCAGGGATGAATAGTCCTCTGAAAGTACTTCCCTAATATCTGATCCCGAATTGACCTCCCACATTGATGCAAGTTTAGACGCCAGGTCATCTGCCTTCATTATATTTTCCCTCAAGTCATGTTGCTCGAGCTGATTTTTGGTGACAAATGTAAGCAGTGGGCAGCCGTGGATTGACAAATTTGTAAGGCTTGCTGCAAGACATGATAATGTCTTCAAATTTGGAACGTCCCGTAGATACAGACAAGAGCAATGCTGAAGGAGTTCTGTATCTGGTGGTAGGCCTTCTAGCAAGCTGCAGTTATCAAGCTCAAACCTTTCCAAATTTTCAAAATAGGATCGCTCAAGTAACCACCTAGGATATGTGCCAGATTTGTAACCGTTGATTGTGAGCTCACTCAGTTGGGGTGGCGGTCTCAGACCTTCTAGAATATCCAAATGCAGAATATCCATTGCATCCATGCCATCCTCGGAACTCCACTCAAGCGTCAACTTTTTAAGGCGATATTTCTGATATAGCTTCGACTCTAAGGCTTCATCCTTTCCAATGACATTCTCAAGATTTTTTACTGTTAAACTGCCACCAAGCTCATTCAAGTCCTTCAGTTGTCGCAACTCATATCCTTGCTTCTTTTGCACACAAAAGTCATATATCTGTTGTAATGAAGTAAGCTTGCCAATGTTGGGAATTTGATCCTTGTACCCTCTCAGATGTCGTAACTTACTTAAATTGCAAACTTTGTCAGGCAACCTCTCCACATTGTAGTTTAACTGAAGTAACTGTAAGTGGTAAAGAGCACATAATGATCTAGGCAATTCAGAAACTGATGTTCTGGTGAGGTCCAAATACCGAAGGTGCTTCAGCTCACCAACAGATTCAGGTAACATGCTGCTGTTGTAAAATGACAAATGCAATACACGCACCTTCTTCAGGTTCTGCAATATCTGATCAAAAAGAACAGTTGCATTATCCATTAGTGGATCGATGCAGATAACAGTGTGTAAATGCTGTAGCTTGTCGATAATTTGCTTATGCCTTTGCATACTCTCAACAGAAACAGATAAATGTCGAATAGTGCATGGTATTTCTGTCATATTATCATCTTCTAATCTGAAGCAGTCTTCTCTAGAGAGTGACTCTGCCAAATCATGAAGGATGTCATGCATGACATAGTAATCACCATAATACCATTCAGAAACCGATTGGAAGAAAGATCCAGAGACCATCTCATTCAAGTAATCCCTCCCAACATCTTCCATTGTCCTCCTACTCATATTGCACGAATCAACAAAGCCTTCTGCCACCCAAAGGTGAACCAACTCATCATGTCTATATCTATGACCTTTTGGAAATAAGCTGCAATACAAGAAGCACCTCTGTAGACGTGGATCTAACTTCTCATAACTCCACAACAGAGATGTGAAGGGCTCACTTAAATCGTTGAGCTTTAGTGCAGCTTTCCATTCAGTGATATCTTTTTTTCTGCTCAATCTGGAACCCAGAACTTTTGCTGCCAAAGGACATTTTCCAAGCCTTTTAGCAATCTCCTCAGCAATATGTTCTAGCTTTGTGCGCAACAGCTGGTCTTGAATTTCTACTCCAGAGAAAGCATGGTGTTTAAAGAGATCCAAGAACTCAGCATCATCCATGTTTTCCAAACGAACAACTTGTTCACAGCATACAGCGGCCGGGAGCATTTCACCTCGAGAAGTCACCAAAACTCTGCTTCCCGACTGTTTAGAGACTAATGGAGCGAGGAGTTGCTCCCACTCTGTCTCATTATGAGATTTTTCAAACCAAACATCATCCAAGACAAGTAGGAATTTCTGTGACTGTTGCAGTATGTCTCGTAGTTTGCACTGGAGAGTATCAAGATTATCAACACATGGGCACTCCCCCTTTTTTGCAGACTCGATGATCTGCCGTGTGTCGCACATCAAGTTTGCGTGAGATGCAGATCCACATCCTGATGTCAAAGCATTTTTCAATCCTCCTGTCATTATAGACATACTGTGCTAAGGTGGATTTCCCCATTCCTCCCGTTCCAACAATGGCCAAACTTGAGTACCTCGATGAACTTGCCTCTTCAGTTGTCGTCTTGCTGAGAAGAAAATCAACTATACGATCACGATCTCTGTCGCGACCGAAAACCTTTGAAGTGGGAAGTGATGTTGTTGTAGGAACAACGGTTCCATGTACAGCTGGTGTCCAGTCGACGGTATTGCCATGTGGTAAGCCAAGAAGATCGCGAAGCTCCTTGGCTTCAAGCAGGATATCCTTGAGTTCTTTCATCTTGTTAATTAGCTTTCTGTTCTCTTGCAACAAGTTGCGTGCCCTACTCTTAGCAGCACGAACTGGCTTCTTGATGGTCGATGCAATGGAGGAGGCTTCATCCTCCCCTACCATGGGATCCTTCCCACTATTTGCCTCGCGCTTGAGGAGGTTGTACTCATGCTCATGCAGCAGGTCCTCAGCATCATAGAAGGCTTCTTTGAGCCTCCGGATCCATGCCTCCAGCTTGCCCCTGTGGGAGCTCTTCCCTGCCGCTTGTATCACCAGGTCAAACTGTGGCAGGACAGTGGCTTCTAGTTTTTGGAGCTCACGCACCAAGTCCACGCTGAGGTAATCTGTAGCATCAGCTAGGAGCTTGTTGATGATTGGCGATGCTGTCCACCTTAAACCACAGAGCGCCAAGTCTGCCATGGATGCAGTGGTTTGTGCTTCCCCTTCTTTTCTGAGCGAAGAGATTTTGGATGTAAGTGTTTCCAGATGAAAAGAAGATGACAGGGTGAATTGGTAATGGAAGGAACACAATAGATGAATGGATGGACGGTTCGAATCAGAAAGAAAGCTGGGTTTTTTTTAGTATGGATGAGGTGCTTCTGCAGAGGAGAAATAACTGGTAGGGACTGCAATGTAATCGGAGGAAAATTTTGAACCAAGTTGCAAGTTTTTCCAGATGAAAAGAATAGGACAAAGCGAAGCACGAAATGTTTGGGTTTTGCAGAAATTAAGCAACGATGGGGAAAAAAATTGAAGGCGAAATACTGTTTTTCTTCCTTTTTTTTGGGAGGGATTTTCAAGTTTTTGTTTCCTGGTAGGGACGAAATGAATGAGTACAAGAAATGAACGAGTAGATGATGTGGGGTGCGAGTGTGTCTAGTGACCGAGAAAATCAGGACAAGGTGGATGAAACATGAACAGAATAGATGAAAGGATGGACGATGGGAAGCAGAAACAAGCAAAGAGTACAATTAATATCTTTTTTTTCCTTCCTTTTTTTTGGTTTTCTATATTTTTTCTTTTCTTTTGTCGTAGGAGTGAAATGAACAAGTTGAAGATGCAGGGTGCAAGGGTCTGGTGGCGAAGAGAAAGATTAAACAGGAGAAGAAAGATGAATGGATGGACGATAGAAGCTGTTTTCTTTTTTATGTATGATGAGGTGCTTCTGCAGAAGGCAAATTACTGAGAAGGACAGCAACAGGGTGAAGAAAACCTGGAATTAGGAAGACACATAGAATTAGTGAATCTGATTAGAAAAATGAAGACAAACTGATTATTTTGCTTTCTCGTGTGCTACGGCACACAGAGCGAAATAGCTAGTGTTAAGTTAACACAACAAACTAAGAGTAGAGATTTATGATCTTACACGGTGTTGCGGGATGAAGTTACACCAAGTGAATCAAGGGCGCGGGGAGCAGAGGTTGCCGGAGCCGGTGTCGACAACGAGCGCAAGCGTGGCCGGAGTGGTGGACGGGACTCTGGAACAAACACTGCACTTCAAGAGAACAAACAGGTAGTCAGCCAAGAATAAGGGATACACGCTGGCTGCGAAGGAGGGAAGCAGCTCTGTCGGCTGGGGAAATCAGGAATAATACCGGAAAAGCTTAGCTGATGCCCGTGCTGATTCCTGGTGATGATCTGTTCTGTGGTTTCACGTAGAGGAGACTGATGGTGCTGCTGGCTGCTGAGGGTCTACTGGCCTTCTGCTGCTCGCTGGGAAAGGAAGAAGCAAGGAAAGAGGAAGGTGGAGAAAGAGGAGTAGACAAGGTCTATCGATTGGGACTGCTCTGAAATAGGAGTACCAGTATTATTGTTCATTGTTGAACAAGGGCAATTATTGTTGGGACCTGCATTTGGAGTGAAGCACTAGTCACCATAAACACAGACAAAGGAAGCTTCTGGGTTGCTTTACTTGGTTTCGTTTCTATCCTTGAGAAAGCAACGGTTTGACCGTATCATCCCTTGCAATAAATGAATGAAGGCAAACATGAAGTAGACAAGGTCTATGAAATTATCAAAAATGTTATTAGCAAGGCTTTGGCCTTGTACTACTTGGATTGGATGAGTTATCGTGCAAGACTTTTTATCCTTTAGCTGAGCAGTAGCATAGGCATCACAGCAGGAGTTAAGATTCTTGCTTTCCAGATCTGCAGTTTTGCAACTCACACACTGTCTAAACAAGTTGTAGGAAAAACAAGTCTTTGCCAAGAACAGCATTTGCAACTGAAACGCTACGTAAACAAAGCCCAAATGAACAGCAAGGCGCGCATACTGCCACCTCACCTATATCCAGGAAAGGGTGGAATCTGGTCACCTCTCACATGGAAAATCACATAAGAAGAATTTTTTTATTCCATAACCCATATAATTCATCATATATGAACTGATAAAAACACAAAAAAGATAGAATTTTTTTGACTAACCACTGACCATGTGTTGCGGGCTTGCAGCAGCAGCGGTGTACGTAGTAGGCGAGAGCAGGATTGATATGGACCTGATGGCCAAACGGGTCTAGTGGCTATTAGGCTTTGCTTGGTTTAATTTGGGCCAAACAAAAAAAAACATTACAGGCTCTAGGCGTGGAACAGGGAACAGAGCATTTTCTAATTGATTGTAATATGGCTCAGTGCGTTGGGAACTTGAGCGAGAAGGCTTGTCGAGCTTATTCATATGCGAGCGAGATGCTGAGAGCTGGTCGGCGGAGATGTACATGATTGGTTGAAGGCTGATGTATCTAGCATTCAAAAAATTAATGGAGTTTATTTATGGATATGGCCCCGTTTAGTTCCCAAATTTTTTTTTGCGCAGTACCCGTCACATCAAATCTTGCGGTACATGCATTGAGTACTAAATGTAGACGAAAAAAAAAACTAATTGCACAGTTGGGTGAGAAATCGCGAGACGAAACTTTTGAACCTAATTAGTCCATAATTAGACACTAATTACCAAATACAAACGAAAGTGCTACCGTAGCCAAAACCTAAAAATTTTTGGATCTAAACGCGCCCTATGTCTTAGGCTGATGTACTTTGTTTGTTCTGATGATAGCTTGAGAAACTCAGGAACTCCTAGAATACGTTGTGTACAGCAGCCTGCTCTGATTTGCCTCTGCTCTAAATACATCTAATGCTCTGTGCTGAATCTTGTATAAAACAATGGTTTTGCTATGAACTTTGTCTGAAAGCACATGTTTGCATGTTTTGTTACTGCAAAACGCAGCCATCGGCCAAGAAAAATTACCACAAAGTAATGAAAAATAGTCATTAATTAGAACTTACTTATTTTCCTTTCCAGTTTCCTAACATAGCAGGTGTTTTCGTCTTTTATGAGAGCCTGCCGTGGAGCGGAATCATCGTTGACTCTCTCTCCCTAACGTCCACCGTATATGTTTTTCGTCGCCGCAGAGGATGGGCGGCCATGCGTTCATATGGTGGTGCCGCCTCGCCAGCAGCGCCTGCGGTGGCAACCGTCGCGATGGCCGCGTGCATCAGAGAGGCGGCGGACTCCCTCATGCGGGCATAAGTCTGGACAAAAAAAACTCGAAGCTCGTTAGCTAGTGGCTAGCTTAACTCAGCTCGGCTCGGCTCGTTATGATTTTAGCTTATTAGCTATAACGAGCCAACTCGAGCCAGCTCGCGAGTCGCTCGCGAGCTAAACGAGCCAAGCTTCTAGGAAAAAAAAGTATCAAAATTTATATTAGTTTTTGTATTACTTCATGTCTTGTACTTTATAATTGACTGGTAACTGATCTAGACCCTATAAATTTGGGATTATTATTACTATATTATTTTGTTTTTAGTGGATATATGGATACTCATGGACCATATTATTTATGGTATGGAGTATGGACCATGAATACTATAGTATTTTATTATACTTGTATATATATTAGCGCATATTAATTTTTTTATTCGATTTAAGGTTGTTAGATGCATTTCTTTTGTATTATTATTATTCTCAAACTTTAGATAAATGCAAATATTATATTTTGTGTATTTTTTTATACCTGGCTCGCGAGCTTAACGAGCCGGCTCGAGCTTTTAACGAGCCGAACCGAGCTGGTTTTCTGACTCGTTAGGATATAACGAGCCGAGCCGAGCTAGCTCGTTACCTTAACGAGCCAGAACGAGCCGAGCCAAGCCGAGTCGAGCCGGCTCGTTATCCAGCCCTATGCGGGCAACAGCTAGCGGGGAACGGCCTCGGCACACGTGCTCACGCGGAACGTGTCGGAAGAGGCAGGAGCTTGCAAGTCCAAACTCCCTCACGAGGAAATGGAAGGCAGGCGTAGGGAAGCTCCGAACACAGGTGCCCTGTTGTATTGGCTGATTCATAAAACATAAATTTACAAAATTAAAATTAAAAAAAACAAAAGCGGTGTCCTGCCCTAAGATTAGGGGATGGTAGGGTCGAGAAGCGGGAGTGGGGGCGAGGACAAGGAGGACGTCGCTGGCGCACTGCCCTGTGTTTAGGGGGGCGGGCTCGAGCGGCGAGGGCAGGCAGTGGGCGGCGCGGTCGGCGTTGAGGGAGCTGTTGGCTGGGGGCGTGAGCGAGGAAGGTGGGGGTGGGCAGGCAGGGCACGAGGAACACGACGCAGGTGTAAAATGGATAGGTCAACGAATCTATTTTTATACCAAATTTACTTATAGATATAAATGTTTCTAATATTTTCTACAAACTTAATCAAATTTTCTCAGGTTTAACCAATACGAATTACACCACGACATTTAGGGCGTCCACAATGGTGTTAGCTACCTAGCCAGCTTATGTGGAGATGAGAGACAAAAGCAAAGACTATTTTATACTGAGTATATTCTTATTTTTCTATGTACTATTAGATCCATATATTTCTCTCTCATATTCTTAACTAGGGCCTTGTTTAGATTACAAATTTTTGTAATCTGGACACTGTAGCATGTTTTGTTTGTATTTGACAAACTTTGTCTGATCATGGACTAACTAGGCTCAAAAGATTCGTCTCGTGATTTACAACCAAACTGTGCAATTAGTTTTTTTTACCTACATTTAATGTTCCATGCATGTGTCCAAAAATTGATGTGATGAAGAGAGAGTGAAAAAACTTAGAATTTAAAGGTAATTTAAACAAGGGTATAATAGATTGGTTATTTGTTCGACGCTAACGAATCTCCTCTATTTTTTTCCCCTATAACGGGCCAAATAGCTACTAGATAGGTACTGTACGAGCGAGTAATTAATGAATTCATAGACGTGCGTGCGGACCGCGTCCACTTGCGTCCAGAATACGGTACCACCATGTGACAACGACGCGTGATTGGTGATTTGTCAAGCGGTGGTAGGAGACAGCGCACATCACAAGGATCGTGTCCACCGCGTCTGCCATGCATTGTCACGCGTCAGTCGTCAGTCGTCACATGCAAGGAATAATGGAGTTGACGTTGACGTTGACGGGGACTCACCCGGTTTCAATCTGCTTCGGCGCGTGTTTAGTTCCACGAAGTAGTTATTTGGAGCTATGTACTTTCGTTTTTATTTGGCAATTATTATTTAAACATGAATTAATTAGGTTCAAAACATTTGTCTCGCAATTTTCTACCAAACTATGTAATTAATTTTTTTTTATCTACATTTAATGCTCTATATACGGGCCGCAAACATTTAATATGATAAGTATTGTAGCACTTTTTAAGATTTTGAGGTGGAACTAAACAAGCACTCAACAAACCTCGGCGTCCGACGACTTGCATAGAGAGACCCCGAATCCGAATAGGAGCCGGTTTCGGGCGTGCACTGTAACATGACGTTCTACGTACGTCATATTGAGATCGTATCGAGGGGGTGTTTAGTTTTTTCAAAATTAGGTTTTTGATACTAATAAAAAAAACAAATTACAGAACCCATCAGGAAACTGCGAGACGAATCTAATAATACTAATTAATCCATCATTAACGCATGTTGGTTACTATAGCACTTAAGGCTAATCATGGACAAATTAGTCTTAAAACATTCGTCTCGCGATTTCCAATCAAACTGTGCAATTTTTTTTTTTTTAACTATATTTAATATTTCGTACATGTACCGTAAGATTCGATGTGATATTCCGGAGGTGAAAATTTTTGGAACTCAACGGGGCCTGAGAGTAGTCTCGTCTGTCCACTCCCGTCACATCGGCCCATCACTCTTTTTTCGTCGCCTCGGCCCTCAGAATTGGTCCAGACTCCAGATTCGCGCCAAAGCAGCTCCTTTTTTTTTCTTTCTTTTCCATTGGCCATTGCCGCGTTATCTTGCGACAAGTGTGTATCCGCGTCCGTGCCCACTCCGCGAGACCACGGAAAAACGTCGAGCAGTGGGAGATGCATATGCGCGCCGGCGCCGCGGCCTCATCAGAGCAGTCTGGGCATGTGCGTAAAGACATTTGAATTCATGCACCATATCTTGGTAGCGTAGATCTCTAACTTTAGCATTTGTTGCTATGCACCCAACGAGCAAAAGAGACACAGAGTGACAGAGTGTGAGAGCACTCCACTGAGCGGTCGAGCTGAGCATGGAGCTCGCCTTGGGGGCCATGGCCGGCCTGCCCCCAAGCTGGGCGAGCTGCTCACGGCGGAGTACGTCTGCTCCTTGGCCCCCACCATACTACACGGTAACAAGGAATAAAAAATTCATATTCCCTCACTCACCCTCACTTCCGCCCGATGCCGACGCACCATGGCCATGTTTAGTTACGACCGGAATTGGCGCCGCCAAATTTTCGGGTTCCTGTAGCGTTTCGTTTGTATTTGGTAATAATTGCCTTATCGTTGACTAATTAAGCTCAAAACGTTCGTTTCGTAAAGTACAACCAAACTGTGTAATTAGTTTTTGATTTCGTCAACATTTAGTACTCCATACATGTACCGCAAGTTTGATGTGACGGAGAATCTTTTTTTTTTTGCATAGTGTCAAAATTTGGATTCGGTGGAAACTAAACATGGCCCATGCATGCCTACCATCGTCTGCTCCTTGGCCCCACCATATTACTGGATGGACATTGTGCGTGCTTGCTGTCGCCTGCTCCTTCACCCTACCTTATTACCAATCTCGACAATAACATTGCGTCTGTCCTTATGCGAGATGTATATTTAATTTGTGATGATATTGTGTTAGGTGATAGGTCTCGATCCAACAGTTTTGTTTGGTAGATGAATTGATGGGGCGACTTCATTCCCAGGCTTTTGTGTCACATGTTAGTAGCAGTGTGCTTCATCAAGCCAAACAGGCCCCTAGCGAGTTGCTCCGAACCTCGGCGGCATCTACAAGCAGATGAATGGTGACGGAGGGGCTAGGATGATACTTTAAATTATTTTTCATAATAAGATAAGTGGGTAAATAGTAGTAGATTTTAGAGTTTTTTTTATAAATAATGGTGTGAGTAGTTTAAATTATTTTTATAAATTATTTTCACTTTTTTTTTCTCATGCATGCTTTAGCAATAGATTAAAACAAAACAATTTGATATTTTCTTTCCCCTAAGACGGATAGTTCTACTTCCTAAGCCACATGTTTAACGTTCAGTAGATAACTTGAGTCTTAAATCGTGTAAATCACCAAATGACAATTATGCAATTAAGAACTAGGTCTAAAGATCCTTATTTTAGAATCCAAGGTGTGCAATGAAACATACACTTTCTTACATGTAAGCTCGCCCGTGCAACGTTACCTTGCTCCATATTGAGCGATATAAGTTTTGCATTCTGATATTTTCACAATCTGAATGTACTCAAGAATCATCCGAAGCCGCAGAGTAGGGCTGGTCATTGGACCAACGCCAGCACCCTAGACACCAACTCAGCATTTTGGGTCAGCTCCCAAATCTGAATGTACTCAAGAATCACTTGGACGGTGAGTGGTGAGTGGTGAGTGCCCCGGAGATATCCCTGACTCAGGCTCTGTGCGGCAGTGTGTCCGCCACATACCAGCGGCGACGAGACGGACGCACTGCGGCGAAGAGAGCCGGCACAAGTTGCTTGATGCTGCGACCATCAATCCACCTGTCCGTCCAGAAGTAGGTTGACTCGCCATTGCCAACTACTGAGAAGGTTGCCGCACTTAGGCTGTGTTTAGTCGTAGGAATTTGGTTTTTGAGGCTACTGTAGCACGTTCGTTTTTATTTGGCAAATAGTGTTCAAACATGAACTAATTAGGCTCAAAACGTTCGTCTCGCAATTTCCCACCAAACTGTGCAATTAGTTTTTCTTTTCGTCTATATTTAATGCTCCATGCATGGGCCGCAAACATTCGATGTGACAGGTACTATAGCAACTTTTTAGAAGTTAGGGTAGAACTAAACAAGGGCTGAACACGGCCACAACCAACGTTTCCTTAGGGAATGGTAGGTCCGCCCAGGTGCTGTTGGGGGCGGTTCTCTGAAGCCATTCCCATCTTACCCTGAAAGCAATGCCTGCCCTCCGAAGATCGACGATTCCGAGGCCCTCCAGCTCTTGAGGCCTACAGGCTTGTGCCCCAAGCTACACGGCATTTTCCAGCGCTTACAGCATCACCTCCACACCAAACGAAGGCTTGACGGCGGCGATCAGCTGAGCAACAACCAAAAAAAAAACAAAAAACAAAGGACGAAGTGTTAGAACCCTCAGAAGGTCCGGCTAACTCTCCTAGTTTTTTAGCAAGGACGTCCTGGGCCAATTGCATAGATCCTTAGCTAATGTAGTCATACACGACATTTTCATATCAGAGGCTTCTAGCTCTTTTACTTGAATGAAAACACGAAGTTCAGGAAAGAAATTAGATTGCAGGCACTCCAAGAATCGAAAGCTCGAACCTAGATGCCCACCCTTGTCTACACTCTACAAACTACAGCAGACAGCCAGACACCAGTCCTCTCAGCATACTTGGGGTTGGGGAAAAAGAATTGCGTGGAGCTTGAAGCTACAGAAGTACATAAAAAATGCAGAGCACACGACAGAGCACTCAAAAAGGGATACCTACTAAGAACAGGACGGAAGCACGTCTTGGCAATATTCTTTCTTTCTTTTAAGAATGATAATAAAGGTATGAAACATTCCAGACTCCAATTCGCCTCACGTAGGACTAATTGCCACACCAATAAAAGCCGTAGCCACAGTTAGTTACTTATTAGATGTTCATTCTATCGGAGAAATACATATTGGCAATTGTTCACAATCAAGGAATAACATAACAAGTGAAATGGTATAAATGAAACCACCTGCCTTGCAACCTTGGAGGGTGGCGGAGCAATGCAAGTGGCAAAACAGGGAACCGCTGAGACGGCAGCATTAGCGACGGATTGGCTTCTGACTTGAGCCTGAACTCTGAAGCTTCAAGAGATGAGGGCACCGCGATGGATTGACCTTGAGGTGTCTGTTTAGAACATGAAATGCTTTAAATATTGGAAAACTTAAGTCAATTGTGCTGGAGGATGAATCAGTACGTAGAACCTGTACCTTCTCATTTATTTCAAGTGGCAAGTCTAAAGAAGCAAGTTCAATATTAGTAGAAGCTCTTCCATCGAATGTGCGAAATCTTTGGCCAGCTTTCTCCATCAGGTTCTCGGCAGTTCTTCTTCAAGACGGGGCAACCCCATATAGTTATGTGCTGGAGGGAGGACGGCAGATCCGGTAAAGATGCTATGTTGGGGCAATTGCGGATAGAAAGACTCTCCAGATTTGATAGAAATTTTAGATTTCTTGGCAGGGACTCCGTTTCGCAACTCAAAAAATCCAGGAACTTAACAGATGAGAGATTTGCAGGCTCTTCAAATGAAACCGACAGTTCCTTGCAATCTGTAAAAGAAAGGTCTGGTGGGACTGTAAACCCTTCAGCCCTGAGCAAGCGGTTGAGCAATACGGAGCTATTAACGGTGAGCGATTCCTGGACACGAAAGTGTGAGATGCACTTGGCAGTGAGGTTTGGAACATCTATTAGACTTAAGACATTAAGGTGCAGGGAAGACAAGCCTTCAACGAAGCAAAGATCAGGGAGACGCCATAGGTATAATGTTTCAAGGGAGGTCAGGTGGGCAATCGATAAGGATGGGGAGCTTCTGCAGACATTAATGGAAAGAGATTTCAGGTGTGGCAAGCCATTGATGAATGAATCAGCTGCAAGAATGCAGCCATGGATGCTGAGGTGCCTAGCAACGTTCAACTGCATTAGTTCTGCTCCACGTGTTAGCTCTAAAGGAGGACAATCCCTACAGTAAAGAATGGAAAGAGATGGAGCAGCACGTAAGCCCCCCAGTGATTTGAGACACCAACAACCTTGCAGTTTCAACACGTCAAGCTTTGTCAAATGCTCAAACACCTCTTCTGATGGAAGTGCAGTTAATGCCATATTATATTTCAATTCTAAAGTTTCCAGTGAAATGAGGCCACCAAGGCAAATAGCTAAAGCTTCATCTGTAATACTGCATGAAAAAAGAGAAAGTTCACAGAGTCCTGACGGTAGAACCAGTGGCATCTCCATGGTCCTTCCATAAACGACTCTTATCCTCTGCTCATGGCAAAAAAGCCATGCCTTGATGATATTTTCTTTCACCGATATTATATCTCCTTCCTCTAGAGCACTTCCAATAATTTGAAGATGTTGTGATATATCATCATCCATTAGTGTCATAAACTGCTTCAGAGATGAACAGTCCTTTGATAGCACTCTCCTAATATGTGATCCTGAATCCACCTCCCACATCGATGCAAGTTTTGATGCCAGGTCGTTGATGTTCATTATGTTTTCCCTCAAATCATGTTGTACTAGCTCATTGTTGGTGATAAAAATAAGCAGTGGGCACCTGTGAATTGACAACTTTGTAAGGCCTGCTGGAAGATATGATAGTTTCTTCAAATTTGGAACATTTTTTATATGCAGCCTAGAGCAATGCCGAAGCAGCTCGGTATCAGGTGGTAGACCTTCTAACAAACTGCAACTAGCAAGCCCAAAACTACCCAAATTCTCAAAATAGGATCCCTCAAGTAACCACCTTGGATATGTGCCAGATTTGTAACCTTTGATTGTGAGGCTACTCAGCTGGGGCGGTGGTCTCAGACCTTCTAGAATATCCAAATGTGAAGTGTCCGCTGCATCCATGTCATTCTGGCAACTCCAGACAAAATTCAACACTTCAAGGCATTTTTTCTGATATAGCTTTGACTCTAAGGCCTCATCCTTTCCAGTGGCATTCTCAAGATTTTCTATTGTTAAATTGCCATGAAGCTGATTCAAGTCCTTCAGCTGTCGCAACTCATATCCTTCCTTCTTTTGCACAGAAAATACATAAATGTGTTGTAGCGAAGTTAGCTTACCTATGTTCGGAATTTGGCAAATAGGCCTTTCACCCAAGAAATCATCAGTGTCATATGTGTACGCTCCTAGATGGCGTAACTTACTTAAATTGCAGAGTTTTTTAGGAAAACTTGCCACCATGCAGTTTAACCAAAGTAATTGTAAGTGGTAGAGAGTACATAATGATCTAGGCAATTCAGAAACTAACGTTCTGATGAGATTCAAGTATCGGAGGTGCTTCAGCTCACCAATAGATTCTGGCAACTTGCTGCTGTTGTAAAATGACAAATACAATACACGCAGTTTTCTTTGGTTCCGTAGCATGTGGTCAAAAAGATCACTTGCATCATCCATTAGTGGATCGATGCAGATAATAGTGCGTAAATGATGTAGCTTGTAGATAATTTGCTTATGCTTTTGCATACTCTCAACATGAACAGATAGATGTCGAACAGTGCATGGTATTTCTGTGACATTATCATCTTCCAATCTGAAGCAGTCTTCTCTAGAGAGTGACTCTGCCAAATCATGAAGGATATCATGCATGACATAGTACGAATCATACCTTTCAGAAACCAATTGGAAGAATGATCCAGAGACCATATCATTGAAGTAATCCATCCCAACATCTTCCAATGTTTTCCTACTCGAATTGCACGAACCAACAAAGCCTTCTGCGACCCAAAGGTGAACCAACTCATCAGGTTTATATCTATGATCTTTAGGAAATAAGCTGCAATACAAGAAGCACCTCTGAAGATATGGATCTAACTTCTCGTAACTCCACAACAGAACGGTGAAGGGCTCACTTAAATCTCTGAAATTTTGTGCAGCTTTCCATTCAGTGATATCTTTTTTTCTGCTCAATCGGGAACCCAAAACTTTTGCTGCTAAAGGACACTGTCCAAGCTTTTTAGCAATCTCTTTTGCGGTATGTTCTAGCTTCATGCGCAATAGCTGGTCTTTGATTTCTGCTCCAGAGAAAGCATATTGTTTGAAGAGTGACAAGAACTCAGCATCATCCATGTTTTCCAAATGAACGACATGTTCACACAATAAATTGGCCGGAAGTGTTTCACTTCGAGAAGTCACCAAAACTTTGCTTCCCAACTGTTTAGAGACTAATGGAGCAAGGAGTTGCTCCCACTCAGTCTCACTATCAGATTTTTCAAACCAAACATCATCCAAGACAAGTAGGAATTTTTGTGACCCTTGTAATATATCATGTAATTTGCATTGGAGAGTATCGAGATTATCAAGACGTGGGCACTCCCCCTTTTTTGCGGACTCAATAATCTTTCGCGTGTGACAATGGACATCAAGTTTGCGTGAAATGCAGACCCACATCTTGACATCAAAGCATTCTTCTATCCTCTTGTCATTGTAGACATACTGTGCTAAGGTGGACTTCCCCATTCCTCCCGCTCCAACAATGGCCAAACCTGAGTACCTAGATGAACTTTCCTTGTCAGCTGTTGTCTTGCCGAGAAGAAAATCTACTATACGATCACGATCCTTGTCGCGACCGAAAACCTTTGAAGTGGGTAGTGATGTGGTTGTGGGAACAATGGTTGCTGCGACAGCTGGCCACTCGGCGGTGTTGCTGTGTGGTAAGCCAAGAAGATCACGAAGCTCCTTGGCTTCTGTCAGGATAGCTTTGAGCTCGTTCATCTTGCTAATTAGCCTTCTGTTCTCAGGGAGCAAGTTGCGTGCCCTGCTCTTAGCAGTATGAAAAGGCTTCATGATTGTTGATGAAATGGAGGAGGTTTCATGCTCCCCTACCAAGGGACCCTTCCCGCTCTTGGCCTCGCGCTTGAGGAGGTTGTACTCATGCTCGTCCAGCAGGTCCTCGGCATCATAGAAGGCTTCTTTGAGACGCCGGAGCCATGCCTCCAGCTTGCCCCTGTGGGGGCTCTTTTCCGCCGCTTGAATCACCAGTTCAAACTGTGGTAGGACGGTGGCTTCTAACTGTTGGAGCTCACGCACCATATCCACACTGAGGTAAGCTGAAACTTCGGTAAGAAGCTTGTTGACAATGGGCGATGCTGCCCACCTTAATCCAGCGAGCGCCATGTCGGCCATGGAATTGGAGTGGTTTGTGCTTCTCTTTTGTGGGTGTGGACTGGAGATATCTTGGATGAATATTTCCAGGTGAAAAGAAGAGGACAAGTGATTGGCAATGGCACGAAATGGTTGGGTTTTGCTGGGAAATGTAAACGATGGGAAACAAGCAAAGAGTACAATTAATATCTTTTTTTCCTTCCTTTTTTTTGGTTTTCTATATTTTTTCTTTTCTTTTGTCGTAGGAGTGTTGAAGATGCAGGGTGCAAGGGTCTGGTGGCGAAGAGAAAGATTAAACAGGAGAAGAAAGATGAATGGATGGACGATGGAAGCTGTTTTCTTTTTTATGTATGGATGAGGTGCTTCTGCAGAAGGCAAATTATTGAGAAGGACAGCAACAGGGTGAAGAAAACCTGGAATTGGGAAGACACATAGAATTAGTGAATCTGATTAGAAAAATGAAGACAAACTGATTATTTTGCTTTCTCGTGTGCTACGGCACACAGAGCGAAATAGCTAGTGTTAAGTTAACACAACAAACTAAGAGTAGAGATTTATGATCTTACACGGTGTTGCGGGATGAAGTTACACCAAGTGAATCAAGGGCGCGGGGAGCAGAGGTTGCCGGAGCCGGTGTCGACAGCGAGCGCAAGCGTGGCCGGAGTGGTGGACGGGACTCTGGAACAAACACTGCACTTCAAGAGAACAAACAGGTAGTCAGCCAAGAATAAGGGATACACGCTGGCTGCGAAGGAGGGAAGCAGCTCTATCGGCTGGGGAAATCAGGAATAATACCGTAAAAGCTTAGATGATGCCGTGCTGATTCCTGGTGATGATCCTTTTTTTTAACAGATTGCTGATGATGATCTGTTCAGTGGTTTCACGTAGAGGAGACTGATGGTGCTGCTGGCTGCTGAGGGTCTACTGGCCTTCTGCTGCTCGCTGGGAAAGGAAGAAGCAAGGAAAGAGGAAGGTGGAGAAAGAGGAGTAGACAAGGTCTGTGAATTTACGAGGATTATTTATCGTTGTACTATTCTAGCTGAAAATTTATGATCGTTTACGACCAAGCTAACATGATGTGATACTGCTCTGAAATAGGAGTACCAGTATTATTGTTCATTGTTGAACAAGGCCAATTATTGTTGGGACCTGCATTTGGAGGGAAGTACTAGTCACCATAAACACAGACAAAGGAAGCTTCTGGGTAGCTTTACCGGGTTTCGTTTCTATCCTTGAGAAAGCAACGGTTTGACCGTATCCTCCCTTGCAATAAATGAATGAAGGCCGAACATGGAGTAGACAAGGTCTGTGAATTTATTAAAAATGTTATCAGCAAGGTTTTGGCCTTGTACTACTTGGATTGGATGAGTTATTGTGCAAGGCTTTTTATCCTTTAACTGAGCACTAGCATAGCATCTCAGCAGGAGTTAAGATTCTTGCTTTCTAGATCTGCAGTTTTGCAACTCACACATTGCCTAAACTACTTGTAGGAAAAACAAGTCTTTGCCAAGAACAGCATTTGCAACTGAAACGCTGCGTAAACATAGCCCAAATGAACAGCAAGGCGCACATACTGCCACCTCACCAATATCCAGGAAACAGTGGAATCTGGTCACCTCTCACATGGAAAATCACATAAGAAGAACTTTTTTATTCCATAACCCATATAATTCACCATATATGAACCGATAAAAACACAAAAAGGATATAAATTTTTTGACTAACCACTGACCAGTGTCTTCTAGTACTGCTGCTTTGTTAGAGGAATCAGCCGTGACGCCAGGCTCGTCGGGGCTGTACTAGGGTTGTCGGTTCCTGGAGCACGGCCGCGCGCCCCGCAACTGCCGCAGTAAAAGTAATCCCTGAGGCGGCCAGACCGGCGACACGGAGGGTTCAGCGCTCGGCCTTGTGCGGCGCTGGCGCCGGAACACAAGAGAAGGGCCGAACGGGGGAACGGGAAACCGAATTTTTTTTTCAACCCTTTTTTTTAAAAAAAGATTTTCACAAATACACCCATGGTAGTATCCTTCAAAAAATAAACCCTGACCTCGACGCCGTGACAATCGGCGCCGAGCTTACACGTCTCGGCGCCAATTACTTTGGCGCCGAGGTCCAGGGTCATTTTCTACGTGTTGTTGACGTAGCTGCTTGCGTGGCGTGGACGTGGCATGAGATCGACGCCGTGGATCTTGACGCCGAGCTATGGAAATTGATAAATTTTAATTTTTACCATGACAGCTCGAAACAGCACCAAGAAAAAAAGAAGAAGCTCGAAACAGCACCACAGCAATTGGCGCCGAAACAGCAACAAGCAAAAAAAAAACGCCTGTTTTTAATACGCTGCGAAATTACCACACCGGGATACGGGCATCATCTATCAGATCAGCGAATTCTAGGGCTTGTTCGACTGGTCGTTAAGCCGCTCGGTTTTGGCTTATTCAATAGTGTTATGTGAGGAAGAATAAGTTAAAAAAAGTTTTATTTGGCTGAAAAGTAGTTTAAGCGAACATCGTGCTATTTGTTTTCCAAAGACATTGTCAGAGAAATACATTATATATATATATATACCATAACATTATAGTAAACCACTTAGTAATGAGTTACTATAATCTCGTAGATTAACATAGTAATTATTGTAAATCAAAGTGGCTACAGAATAAGTTATTTTGTAACCAGGATAGTAGTTATATATATATATATATATATATATATATATAAGAAGCAAAGCAAGTGCATGCATGCATGTCTACGGATGCTGCGGCATGGACAAAAGTACCTGCAAACTGATTAACAATACTGTCGTATGTATGTACTTCGCTACTTTGGAGTAAACTAGGGGCACGTACAACTGTACAAACCGATAAGACCAGGCTTTGTTCGGATCGTAGAAAAAGTCCGTCGTACGCACCTGCTATACAGAAGTTTCCATGCATGTGTTCATTTATATACTTTATTTTGTATTAGGAAATTCAGTAGGAAAGGAATTGTTGGGACGAGGAGAAAAAAAAGAACACGTGTATGAGCAATGTACCTGGCAACAGAAACAAAGCTTTTTGGCTCTGGTTTCTGTGTGAGAAACAGAGATACCTCTTGCGGTCTTGCCGCCGCGCGTCCCTGTTTCCAGAACCCAGTTTCACGTTGCTTCCAAGCAACAACACCAGAGTAGCCTTTGGTTTTCTGCACGCCTTGGAAAATTTTCAGAGAGGAACAATGCAAACACAACACAACATCATATCTCAAGCCTTTTCCGTTTCTCATTAATTTCATTTACAGTCGAAAGAAGAAAAGTGATGGCCAGGTCCAGAAATGCCTTGGCATGCAAGCGAGGATTTCATTTGCTAACGTACTTACTTTGGTAGTGTTCGTGTTCTTTTTCCCTCTCTTTTTGCTTGTAATAGTTGCATACGCAACAATGGCTTTGGGCAAAGCACGCAACAGCTGGCACTCATGAGCTCGGAGCTCGAAGATCCAACTACAGCACATCCGGACGACACAATATAGAGCTCGGCTCCTGCAGTACGGCGGGGCGACACAGTACAGAGCTCGGCTCATGGTAAAAATTAAAATTTATCAATTTCCATAGCTCGGCGCCGTAGATCTTAATGCCGACCTCATGCCACGTCCGCGCCACGCAAGCAGCCACGTCAACGACACGTATAAAATAACCCTGGACCTCGGCGCCGTGGATCTTGGCACCGAGACGTGTAAGCTCGGCGCCAATTGTCACGACGCCGAGATCAGGTCTATTTTTTGAAAGGATACTGCCAGGGGTGTCTTTGTGAAAATCTTTCAAAAAATGGCTGAAAAACAAAAAAAAATCGAACAGGGAAACATTGAACAAAACATGGACGAATATTGCGGTATTGGATTCCACAGTACAAATTCATCTATTTGGGCCGGCCCATCTCATCTTCTCGCTCATTTGAAGTAGAGTAGCAGAACAACGGCAACGCGCTCCCCTTCCTCGGCTTGAATAAGGGCGCGTTTAGTTCCCAATTTTTTTTGGGTTTGGCTACTGATTGGCTACTGTAGTACTTTCGTTTGTATTTGGTAATTAGTGTCTAATTATGGACTAATTAGGTTCGAAAGTTTCGTCTCGCGATTTCTCACCCAACTGTGCAATTAATTTTTTTTCGTCTACATTTAGTACTCCATATATGTGCCGCAAGATTCGATGTGACACTTTGGGGTAAAAAATTTTGGGAACTAAACAGGCCCTAAGTTAGGCACATGAAAATGAAAACTCAGAGCACACATGACATGAGCAAACACCAACGACGACGACAGAACCACGGAAGCAAAGAAAATACAAATTTATTACAAACACACCACACGTCGTTGGCAATCGCTGTTTTCAATATATATTCGAAACTTTGCAGAGCCACATGAGAGTATAGCTGTTCTTATTACAAACAATCGACCAATTGGCCTCAAAGCGATAACCACAGTTTTTATCTTCATCGTTGGAGGCTTATTCTACCATTAGAGAAATATGTGCTGGCAATTATTAATGAGCTACGAAGGAATAACAGGACAAGTGAAATGGTATAGGAGGAACAAACGCCTGAGAATCGATGGGACTGACGGAGGCCTTCCAGTTCACGGTGGCCGGGGCGCTGGGCAACATAAGCAGCGATGGGTTGCCTTTTGGCTTGAACTGGGTGCCGCCTGCTGCGGAGATGACTTAGTGACCTCGAGGTGGCTGTTTGGAACATTGAAGTATGTCAAATATTGGAAAACATAATTAGTCCTGGAGAATCGAGAATGACAGTGGAGCCTTTACCTTCTTATTTCTTTTCACACAAGTGGAAAGTCTAAAGAAGCAAGTTCAATATTTGTAGAAGGTCTTCCAGCGGATGTGCGAAATCTTTGGCCAGCTTTCTCCATCAGGTTCTCGGCAGTTCTTCTTCAAGACGGGGCAACGCCATATACTTATGCGCTGGAGGGAGGACGGCAGATCTGGTAAAGATGTTATGTTGGGGCAATCAGAGATTTCAAGACTCTGCAGACTGGAGAGAAATTTCAGATTTGTTGGCAGGGACTCCATTTTGCACCTCCAAATTTCCAGCGTCTTGACAGATGAGAGATTTGCGGGTTCTTCAAATGAAACTGACGGCTCCTTGCAATCACGAAGACAAAGATACGACGGGACTCTAAACCCTTCAGCCATGAGCATGTGGTTGAGCAATACGGAGCTACTAACAGTGAGCGCTTCCTGGACACGGATCTGTGAGATGTGCTGGGCAGTGAGGTTTGGAACATCTACCAAACTTAGGTTCTTAAGGTGCAGGGAAGACAGGCCTTCAAGCGAGCACAGATCAGGGAGACACACTAGATGTAATGATTCAAGGGAGGTCAGGTGGCCAATCGATAAGGATGGGGAGCTTCTGCAGCCATTAATGGAAAGATATTTCAGGTGTGGGAAGCCATTAATGAATGAATCAGCTGGAAGTATGCAGCCACGTATGCTGAGGAGCTTAGGAAGGTTGAACGACATAAATTCTGCTCCACGTGCCAGCTCTAAACAAGGGCAATCCCAACAGTAAAGACTGGAAAGAGATGGAGCAGCATGTAAGCCCCCCAGTGATCTGAGACACCAACAAGCAGTGATTTCAATCCTCTCAAGCTTTGTCAAATGCTCATACACCTCCTGTGACGGAAGTGCAGTTAAGACCATATTATAACCCAATTCTAAGGTTCTCAGTGAAGTGAGGCCACCAAGGCAAATAGCCAAACCTTCATCTGTAATACTACATGAAGAAAGACAAAGTTCACGAATTCCAGATGGTAGAACCAGCGGCAGCTCCGTGGTCCTTCCATAAATGCCTCTTATCCTCTGCTCATGGCAAAAAAGCCATGCCTTGATGATATTTTCTTTCACCGATATTATATCTCCTTCCTCTAGGCCACTTTCAATAATTTGAAGATGTTGTGATATATCATCACCCATCTGCGTTGTCAACTGCTTCAGGGATGAATAGTCCTCTGAAAGTACTTCCCTAATATCTGATCCCGAATTGACCTCCCACATTGATGCAAGTTTAGACGACAGGTCATCTGCCTTCATTATATTTTCCCTCAAGTCATGTTGCTCGAGCTGATTTTTGGTGACAAATGTAAGCAGTGGGCAGCCGTGGATTGACAAATCTGTAAGGCTTGCTGGAAGACATGATAACGTCTTCAAGTTTGGAACGTCCCGTAGATACAGACAAGAGCAATGCTGAAGGAGTTCTGTATCTGGTGGTAGGCCTTCTAGCAAGCTGCAGTGATCAAGCTCAAACCTTTCCAAATTTTCAAAATAGGATCCCTCAAGTAACCACCTAGGATATGTGCCAGATTTGTAACCGTTGATTGTGAGCTCACTCAGTTGGGGTGGCGGTCTCAGACCTTCTAGAATATCCAAATGCAGAATATCCATTGCATCCATGCCATCCTCGGAACTCCACTCAAGCGTCAACTCTTTAAGGCGATATTTCTGATATAGCTTCGACTCTAAGGCTTCATCCTTTCCAATGACATTCTCAAGATTTTTTACTGTTAAACTGCCACCAAGCTCATTCAAGTCCTTCAGCTGTCGCAACTCATATCCTTGCTTCTTTTGCACAGAAAATTCATCTATCTGTTGTAACGAAGTAAGCTTGCCAATGTTGGGAATTTGATCGATGCACCCTTCCAGATGCCGTAACTTACTCAAATTACAAACTTTGTCAGGCAACCTCCCCACACTGTGGTTTAACCGAAGTAACTGTAAGTGGTAAAGAGCACATAATGATCTAGGCAATTCAGAAATCGTTGTCATTCTGAGGTCCAAATACCGAAGGTGCTTCAGCTCACCAACAGATTCAGGTAACATGCTGCTGTTGTAAAATGACAAATGCAATACACGCACCTTCTTCAGGTTCTGCAGTATCTGATAAAAAATAACAGTTGCATTATCCATTAGTGGATCCATGCAGATAACAGTGTGTAAATGCTGTAGCTTGTAGATAATTTGCTTATGCCTTTGCATACTCTCAACAGAAACAGATAAATGTCGAATAGTGCATGGTATTTCTGTCATATTATCATCTTCTAATCTGAAGCAGTCTTCTCTAGAGAGTGACTCTGCCAAATCATGAAGGATGTCATGCATGACAAAGTAATACCCTTCAGAAACCGATTGGAAGAAAGATCCAGAGACCATCTCATTCAAGTAATCCCTCCCAACATCTTCCATTGTCCTCCGACTCATATTGCAAGAATCAACAAAGCCTTCTGCCACCCAAAGGTGAACCAACTCATCAGGTCTATATCTATGACCTTTTGGAAATAAGCTGCAATACAAGAAGCACCTCTGTAGACGTGGATCTAACTTCTCATAACTCCACAACAGAGATGTGAAGGGCTCACTTAAATCGTTCAGCTTTAGTGCAGCTTTCCATTCAGTGATATCTTTTTTCTGCTCAATCTGGAACCCAGAACTTTTGCTGCCAAAGGACATTTTCCAAGCCTTTTAGCAATCTCCTCAGCAATATGTTCTAGCTTTGTGCGCAACAGCTGGTCTTGAATTTCTACTCCAGAGAAAGCATGGTGTTTAAAGAGACCCAAGAACTCAGCATCATCCATGTTTTCCAAACGAACAACTTGTTCACAGCGTACAGCGGCCGGGAGCATTTCACCTCGAGAAGTCACCAAAACTCTGCTTCCAGACTGTTTAGAGACTAATGGAGCGAGGAGTTGCTCCCACTCTGTCTCATTATGAGATTTTTCAAACCAAACATCATCCAAGACAAGTAGGAATTTCTGTGACTGTTGCAGTATGTCTCGTAGTTTGCACTGGAGAGTATCAAGATTATCAACACATGGGCACTCCCCCTTTTTCGCAGACTCGATGATCTCCTGTGTGTGACGTCGCACATCAAGTTTGCGTGAGATGCAGATCCACATCCTGACGTCAAAGCATTCTTCAATCCTCCTGTCATTATAGACATACTGTGCTAAGGTGGACTTCCCCATTCCTCCCGTTCCAACAATGGCCAAACTTGAGTACCTCGATGAACTTGCCTCTTCAGTTGTCGTCTTGCCGAGAAGAAAATCAACTATACGATCACGATCTCTGTCGCGACCGAAAACCTTTGAAGTGGGAAGTGATGTTGTTGTAGGAACAACGGTTCCAGGTACAGCTGGTGTCCAGTCGACGGTATTGCCATGTGGTAAGCCAAGAAGATCGCGAAGCTCCTTGGCTTCAAGCAGGATATCCTTGAGTTCTTTCATCTTGTTAATTAGCTTTCTGTTCTCTGGCAACAAGTTGCGTGCCCTACTCTTAGCAGCACGAAGTGGCTTCATGATGGTCGATGCAATGGAGGAGGCTTCATCCTCCCCTACCATGGGATCCTTCCCACTCTTTGCCTTGCGCTTGAGGAGGTTGTACTCATGCTCATCCAGCAGGTCCTCAGCTTCATAGAAGGCTTCTTTGAGCCTCCGGATCCATGCCTCCAGCTTGCCCCTGTGGGGGCTCTTCTCTGCCGCTTGAATCACCAGGTCAAACTGTGGCAGGACAGTGGCTTCTAGTTTTTGGAGCTCACGCACCAAGTCCACGCTGAGGTAAGCTGTAGCATCAGCTAGGAGCTTGTTGATGATTGGCGATGCTGCCCACCTTAAGCCAGAGAGCGCCAAGTCTGCCATGGATGCACCAAGTCCCCTTCTTTTCTGAGCGAAGAGATCTTGGATGTAAGTGTTTCCAGATGAAAAGAAGATGACAGGGTGAATTGGTAATGGAAGGAACACAATAGATGAATGGATGGACGGTGCGAATCAGAAAGAAAGCTGGTTTTTTTTTTAGTATGGATGAGGTGCTTCTGCAGAGGGGAAATAACTGGTAGGGACTGCAATGTAATCGGAGGAAAATTTTGAACCAAGATGCAAGTTTTTCTAGATGAAAAGAATAGGACAAAACGAAACACGAAATGTTTGGGTTTTGCAAGGACCTAAATTAAGCAACGATGGGAAAAAAAATTGAAGGCGAAATACTGTTTTTCTTCCTTTTTTTGGGGGGGGATTTTCAAGTTTTTGTTTTCTGGTAGGGACGAAATGAATGAGTACAAGAAATGAACGAGTAGATGATGTGGGCTGCGAGTGTGTCTAGTGACCGAGAAAATCAGGACAAGGTGGATGAAACATGAACAGAATAGATGAAAGGATGGACGATGGGAAGCAGAAACAAAACTGTTTTTGTAATACGGATGAGGTGGTTCTGAAGAGGGGAAGCAACTGTTGAAGACAGCAAAGGAGTCGAAGGAACACCTGGAATAAAAAAGACGAGATAAAATTACTGAAACTGAAAGAATAAATGAAAAACAGAGAACAAACCGATTATTTTCCTTTCATTTCTCGTTTGTTATATGAACATAGGAAAATAGCTAACAAGTTGGCACAAGAAATCTTACACCAACTGGCGCAGGAAGCAGCGTCTCCGGAGCAAGCTTGGACGACGAGCGCGAGGTCGCCGGAGGGATGGACTGGACTCTGGAAGAAGCACTGTAATGCAAGAGAATGAGACGCAAGGCTCAAACAGCCAGTCAGCTGCAGATCTGATCCAGTAGTACACCGGCAAAGGGAGGAAGCGCAGTAGCAAAATATTCAGGCCACTTCTCAGAACATTATTCTATTTTTTTCTCGTATTACGAAAAGTATACTTAAGGGACCAGTTGCAGTTTTATAAGTTGAGATGAGTTGGGCTTACTGAAAACTAGCTATTGTTTATGGATCACTCGCTGATTATTGCACAAGTGGTCTTTAGCTCCATTGCTGGCCGGTGGCCTTTCAAGCTTTCAAAGTACCACTCTCTCAGGTCTGAATGCTATGATAAAAAATAGAATATGACACCCTTGGTCTTCGTTCTATATTATATTATATGAAGTTGTGTCAGCTTTCTCTGTGGGGGCTCTTCGTTTTATAAGTTGTATTATATGAATGATGTGTCAGTTTTTTGAGCTCACGAACCATGTTCACGCTGAGCTAAGCTGAATCGTTAGCCAGAAGCTTGTTGACAATTGGCGATGCCGCCTACCTTAAGTCACCGAGTGCCAAGTCTGCCATGGAATTGCATTATTGCAGTAGTGCGCTTACCTTTCTTTTGTGGTTGATGTGATCTTTGGATGCAAGTGCTATATGATGAAATGAAGAGGACAAGGGATATTTAATTATTTCCCATCTTTATGGTCCTGTTTGTTTCTCTTATAATCTGTCTTTTTCAGCTTGTTTTTTTAGCCGGAACAGTGTTTTTCTCTAACAACAAATTAGCCGGAACAGTGTTTCGGCTTGTTTTTTTAGCGAAGCGAACGGGGCCTATATATGGCAGTTTTATGATGCACCTTACATATTTACATATATGACAACTTCTCTGTCACACGAGCCGGGTCTTCAGTACCCTCGTACTCGAATCCGTAGTGCACCCTATCTTGAAGTGGCTGCACTCGGCGTCTGATAAAACTGGCCACAACGGTGACTCCACTCATGGTCGGATGTTCTCATACTCTTCCGCAGACAGAGTATCTTCCTCCCACCGAGTGTTTGGGATGGGAGCAGTAGTGCTATGTGGCTCTAGTGGTGGATGCATGTTGCCCATATAGAACCACTTAGCCCTCCATTCTCTGACAGAATCAATCAGTACATACTACACGGTATTCACCCTTCTTGCCGTTCCTAAATTGGATTCTGGCTCCTCCGATTACTGCCGGAGCAGTCGCATCTGGCTGCGGCTTGAGCTTGAAATAGTACTGGAATAAAGTGATCGACGGAGGGATTCCAAGATAGGTTTCGCAAAGATGGACGAAGATCGATATGTGGAGAATGGAGTTTGGGGTCAGGTGATTGAGGGTTATTCTGTAGAAATGCAGCAATCCCTGCAGAAATCAGGAAGAAGGCAACCCTAATCCCCGTTTGATGAAAGGTCTAAACAGGACGATCTCACTGGGGTTGAGATTTGGTATGCGGTGTTCTCCGGGTGCCCTCCACTTCCCGAAACCTCGTTCCGGCAGGTATCCTTCATCATGCAGCTCTACAAGATGCGCTTCCGTGGTGGTCGGCTCTGGCCAGATCTTCATCTCCGCCGCCATCTTCATCAGCTCTCTGTTCTCTACGGCAGCTTTCTTGGGTCCACTGCTCCCCTTCTTGCTCCTATCCATCAATCTGGATCTACACTCGCAGAATGTGTTCGTAGGTGGATCTAGGGTTTGCACAGGGTGGGCAGTGGTGCGCGCTTCGACGGGGTTAACCACGAAGGCGACGGCTGGTTTGTTGAATGGGGATAAAAAAAATTTCCCCTCCGCAGATTCCTTTTATACATGATTTTTCACATCCCTACGCACTTTCGACCTTTTTGCAAAAATACCACGGCGCTTCGGTTTCCGGTTATAACAAGACATTGGGGTTATTGTGCCTAACAAAGGAACGTAGCCTGATGCGGCCGCTATGTGTGTTTCGCACTCACACTCCCTTGGCTCAATAAGCTACTTGTCTTAAAGGTTTCTCCGACTACAGATTCTTTCAGCAAGTCAAAAGGCACTCGGGCACACTGCATAGCAGTCGGACACCAATACAGACGCATTACAAAGCTTTTTTGCAACATTTTCATAGCAAATACAAGTGTTACAAGCATTTAGCCTATTCGGCTATTACAGCAACCAAGCCCCTAGTTACTACTCGGCAGGAGGTACCCGGCTTGGTGCGCCCGGCTTCAGGAACCGAAGTGCAGAGTGCCCCAGCATAGTATTACAGGAACAAGCACTACTAAAGAACAGACTTTAGAACGATGTCTCAATTTAGCATTAGCCTCCGCATTTTTTGCCCTCGGGACTAAAGGACCCTTTAGTCCCGATTGGTAATACCAACCGGAACTAAAGGTCCCTGCCCAACGGTCGTCTGCGGGGCAGGAATCTTTAGTCCCGGCTGGTATTATCAACCGGGACTAATACCAGCCGGCACTAAAGCTTTTAGTCCCGGTTTGGGTGATGCCCCGGGAATAAATATTAATCTTTAGTTCCGGTTTGGCCCCCTAACCGGGACTAATTATCCCGGCCTATACACCGGCTCATTTCTTCCTCCCCGAGCCCGAGCCATTCCATTCAAACTCACTGCCTCTGTTCTTCAGCTTGCTGTTGTTCTTGCTCTCTCCCCCTCCATTGGTGTTGCTCTTCGATTTTGGAGGTAACAAACTTAATCCTCTTATGTTTTATTAGTAGCTTATCTTATTTTGCGATGTAGATGCATATGTAACTTTATATGTTGGACTTTATTATGATTTTATATGTCATTTTTAGCTCAAAATCACATGATGATTTGCATATATGTTTGGATAAACAAAAGTTAAATTAGTTCATCAAAATCACGCCTCGCTGGAGCATGCGTCATCCTCGTCCCCGGCGGCTTACGTGATCTTAGAATTAATTTTTCCATAAAATGAAAAACTTAGAAAATAGTTAGAAAATGTTAGAAAATCCGTACTAATTGAACTTGCGGACCGTGTTCAGCTCGTCGAGCATGTTCTCTGCCGAGCGGTAACGGACGTCAAGGAGGAGCTTTGATTCTACGAGGGAGAGCGGCAACGGTCATGGAAGACCGTGTTCCCTTTCTCGTAGAATCGGAGCTCTTCCTTGGCTAAGTACGGTGCCGTCCGGTAGAGAAATGCTCACCGAGATGATCACGTAAGCAAGGTCAACTAGTACAGATGGTTATTTATTGAAACATGTTTTTGAGCTATAATTTGATGGATATTTGATAACTTCAGACCTACAAATGTCATCTACAAATGTTACTATCCTCGGCAACCTAAACGCCCGCGAGCTCGCCGATATTGAGCAGGTCACTTAGAATTATTTTTTCCATAAAATGAAATACTTAGAAATCATGCCTTTTATTTTTTAGAATTAAATTTTCCATGAAATGAAAAACTTAGAAAATAGTTAGAAAATTATAGAAAATCCGTACTAGTTGAACTTGCGGACCGTGTTCATTTCGGCGAGCATGTTCTCTGCCGAGCGGTAACAGACGTCAAGGAGGAGCTTTGATTCTATGAGGGAGAGTGGCAACGGTTGTGGAAGACCGTGTTGCCTTCCTCGTAGTGCCGTCCGGTGCCGTCCGGTGGAGAAATGCTCGCCGAGATGATCACGTAAGCAAGGTCAACTAGTACGGATGGTTATTTATTGAAACAAGTTTTTGAGCTATGTGATTTCTATGTCATTTTTAGCTCAAAATCACATGATGATTTACAATAGTAAAATCACTTGATAGTTTGGTATTTTACTATTATACATAGTACATATTTCATGGTTTAGTTAGATAAATAAATAATTTTAGTTTTGTTTAAATATATTATTTTAGAAAATGTGAAATTTACACTAGTTTGCAAAAATAAGTATAGAAAGTAGATGACAACTGGTACCGGATCCTCGGCCTCTCGTTCGGTTGCGAAACGACTGAGGCCAGAACTCCCTCTCATTATCTGCGGCAAGTGTAAGCAGAAGATTATGATGGAGTACCGAGTCAAGAGACAGGGACCCAACAAGGATCGTGTTTTCTACAAGTGCCCGGATCACGATGTGAGTTTCTTACGCATTTGATTATTATGGCTAATTGACCTGCTTTTCTTGAATATTTTTGACTAAATATTTTTTGGCTTTAATTTC